TCCCGTGTGTGTGTGTGTGTGTGTGTGTGTGTGTGTGTGTGTGTACATTCCCTGCCGTGCTTCCACCGAGGGGAAACTCCGCAGCATCTGCCAGTGTCTGGCGCACGGAAACCCTCAAAAGCCTATGAAATCAAATGGACAGCTTGGAGGGAGCCTCAGGAGTGAGAAAGGAATAAAAGGAGCATCGGCTTCTCCCTTGGAGCAGGGGCATCTTGGGACCAGGTGGGCAGAGGTGCCCGTCAGCACGAGTGAACAGGGAGGCCTGTCTTTTCCAGGAATGGAATACAGAGAAAGTGTGCCCCAGGCCAGAGAAAGCCTGGAAGAGAGACCAGCGGTCCCCGCCAGCCCCGCTTGCCCCCCACATCTGCAGGCTCCTGGAAAGCTGGCTGGAGGCAGCCCTGTGTGCTCGCGTGGTAGCTACAGAGGCCCTGAAGTGACCCAGGACAGCTCAGGACACTGACTCTCTGGGAAAGGGCCAATGGGAGAGGCAGAAATAGAGTGCACAAAGCCTCAAGGCCCCCTAAAGGCCACCCTATGTGGCATCGGGAGAGAGTGCAGGACTCCTCAAAGACACGGGCCCTGCGGTGCAGACAGAACGCCCAGTCCGAGCACTGAGTGCCAAGTGAACACAGAGGCACCGAGGGGACAGCATTCAAGGACTGGGTTAGCCTCTGACTCTCCAAACCAGGTACTCAGACTACTCAACTTCCTTTCTGCAATTCTGAATAAGCGTATGGAGCGGGAAAGACTTCTGAATGGAACTGTTTTCCCCGTCGGGTAATCCAACCTGGCAGTTCCCTCTGCTGTGGGAGAAAACTCACTCCACACCAGGAGGGCATGCTGCTCACACCTGGCACAAGGGCCTGGGCCTGTGGCCAGCTCCCAGCATGCACCAGAGCACTCAGGGTCAACAGCAGCGTCAGACGGACATGTCCACCTGCTTCTGTTCAGTCTCAGACTCAAGGCCATAGCAGAAAAGGGAAGCAGCGCCCTTGGCCTCAGAGGTCGACCCCGCCCTCCACCAAAGGAAAAGGAGGGATCTTTAAAGTGCAGATTTTCAACCTGTGCTAAACACAAATAAGCCCCAATGACCCCTCAGGAAGTGGGCTCACCTGAGGCACATTTGTGATGTGACACACTCGCCAGCTCACCTTTAAAAAGCCCCAGACAGGGGCAAAACTAACCCACAGTGAAAGTGAACGGGGGTGGGGCAGGAGCAGAGAGAGCCTCCGTGCTCAGCAAACTGCCATCTTGATTGAGATGGCGATTACAGGGGTGGGGACGGTCATCCGAACTCATCAAACTGCACGTTTAGAATGGGCGATTTTATTTAATGAAAATTCAGTAAGGACAACTTACGATCAATTAGCAAAAATGCATGATTACTCAGACAGGACCAAAAGTCAGAGGAAGGAGCCAGAGCCCCTGTCCCCAGGGCCAGGGACCACCTAGAGGAAGGAAAGTTCCAGACTTCTGAGACCTCTTCTCCTTTCCTTTGAAATTCACCGTCCCAATTATGTCTGGCCTCAGCAACTGTTAAAATTAAAGCTCCTTACCAAGTGAAAATGATAAGAGGAAGTTGGGCTGGGAGGAGCAAGAAAGAATAGCCTAGTCTGTATTGTCCAGAAAGTTGACTTCCTACTTAAAAATAAACAAAACCACATACAGGCCAGAAAAGGCTGAAGGGGGCGGCAGGCCCTCAGACGCCTGGAGCACTGCTTCCGGTCAGGCTCAGATGTCCCCTCCTGAGGGGCTTCACCCGCCCCTGGAATGTTCTTCCAACTGCTCAGCCCTTTCTATTCCTGACACTCCTTTATTGGGCTAGTCTGTCCCCACTCCCGCTCGTGGGGCAAATTCCCTGAGGTAAGGGACTAAGTCCTAGGACAAAGGCCTGGGGAAGGAGCAGCTGAGTGCGTGAGCCACCTGGGCTGCAAAGACCTGGGATCCTGTGTGGGGTTCTCCACTCCCATCGCCCTCCCTGGGAAATAGTCTCATTGGTGTCACCAGCTCCTTCTCAGGAAGCACAGACCTCTGGCCTCACCCAGGAACCCCAAAAGGAGAAAGGCATCTCTTTGGGAGCAGCCCCCCAGTAAGGGCGCCCCCAACTTACCAGAACAGTATCCGTAAAATATTGGCCACCAGGAGCACCAGACACACGTAGGTGGAGAAGCCGTCGGCATTCTGAGTCCTCCGGATGTCCCTGTACTGCGGGATGTACGGCACCACCCCTCCGAAGACCATGGCCCCGGCTGCGCCCCAGGACACCAGCTGGTGCAGCGGGACCAAAAGCCAGTCGAAGCCTTGCGCGTCCATGGCGAACACCTGCGCCGGCCTGCCAGCGGGCTGAGGTCCCCCTGGCCGAGCCCCGTCCGCTCCCGCCCGCTCCCGGAACGCGCGTGGACTGTCACCCCCACATGGCCGCCGCTGCCCTGCGCGCTCCTCCGCCGCCGGGACCTGGCAAGAGAGGAGAAGAGGTAAGAGCCGGGGCGGGGACCTCTAGCCAGGCGAGCGCCGCGCCGCGCTCCGCGGGGACCCCCGGAGGCCGAGAG